AGGGAGGTGAATTGTTCCACAGAGTAAAGTCTCAGCAGCAGCTTCAGGAGAACGTGGCCAAACTCTATTTCTACCAGATGCTTTGCGCCGTTCAGGTGAGACTCACCTGCTGTTGCTATGGTAACTAGCCTGCACAGGTGCAGCGCAAGCAACTGTGTGCGTGTGTGTGTGTGTGTGTGTGTGTGTGTGTGTGTAGTACCTCCACAGTAACGGGATCATCCACAGAGACCTGAAGCCTGAGAACATCCTGCTGTCCTCTCAGGAGGACGTCTGTCTCATCAAGGTAGACGCTCTTCGTCCTCTCAGCGTCATCATCCTCAGCGTGTCTCCGTGTGTCTCAGTTTGTCTTTCGTGTCTCCACCAGGTGACAGACTTTAACCAGTCCAGGATCTTGGAGGAAACGGTCCTCATGCGGACTCTGTGTGGGACTCCGTCCTATCTGGCTCCTGAAGTCTTCACGCAGGCGTCCACCACCGGCTACAGCCTCGCTGTGGACGCTTGGAGCCTCGGAGTCCTGCTCTTCGTCTGGTAGGCTCAGTGCTGCACCTGCTTCAGCCTCTCACCTGCCTCACCTGCCTCACCTGTCTCACCTGTCTCACCTGTCTCACCTGTCTCACCGTCTGTCCGTCTCAGTCTGGGTGGATATCCTCCGTTCCACGAGAGTTTTGGTCACCAGTCGGTCACAGATCAGATCATTCTTGGAGAGTTCACCATGTTTCCATCCAAGTGGAGACACATCTCTGATCAAGGTACTACTGCAGTACTACTGCATATGTACCACAGTACGATTACTGACAGAACAAATTACATGAAATGACAAGAACGAGGGAAAATCGCTTCTCTGCTACATGTAACGTTAGCATTTTACCATTAGCATCTAAAATATTTGAACACTAGCAATTAAACATCAGCATGTTGATGTTAGCATGTACTTTAGCACTAGCATTTCACTTTTGCATTTTCTTATTATTAGCAGTTTAAAATTAGCATTGGAACTAGTACGTTAACATTAGTTATTATTAAAATTCAACACCGTCTAACATGAGCAACTGACCAACAGCGCTAAAGCATTGGCATGTCATAGTAGCTTTAGCATGTAGCGTTAGCACATTTATAACAGCGATTAATTAGTGTTGCACATGGCCATTTTAACATTCCACAAGAGCATTTTGGCATTTGCAGCTTAACATGAGCAGTTTTTAGCTTTAGCATAGCTACATTTGGCGCTGGCATTCTAGCATTAGCAATCAAGCACCATGCTGGTACTAGTGTTTGAACTCACTCTGGAATGTTAGCATGAGCATGTTAACATCATAATTAAACACTAACATGAAGGCATCAGCATTTGAGTGTTTTTAGATGCTTTTGTTGTTCAAGGAGGTTTCAGATATTCAGATATTTAGATATTTTGTGTCAGAGCTTTAACAAACCTCTAACTTTGCATCGTTGTAGTTTATTAGCTGCTCAGTCAGTTTCTGCATCTTAAGCGAGTGCAGGACTGATGTGATGGTGTGTTTCAGCAAAGGATGTGGTGAGGAGGCTGCTGGTCGTCGATCCCAGCAAGAGGATGAGCATCGAGGAAGCTCTGCAGCACCCCTGGTTACAGGTAACTACCACCTGAGTTACAGGTAACTATAGTCTGAGCTCGTACATGAAAAACGTTCTGCAGCGCTGCAGTGACTGTGATGGTTTTAGGATAAGGTGATGCTGGAGACGGCTCAGAGACTCATGTACCCGCCTGCAGAGGAGGAGGCTGCTGCTGCTGCTGCTGCTGCTGCCGCCGCCGCCGCCATGGTAACCACACACACACACACACACAGGCACACATCATGTACACTTCCTGTAAACTGACTCCGCCCCCAGCAGGAGGCGGCGCCATCGGGAGAAGCCTCAAAGAGGAAACGAGGACCAAACGACGGAGACGAAGAGGACCAACATCCTGCCAAACGGAGCCAAGCCCCGCCCCCCGGCGCCGTGTAGAGGACCAACCTGCTCACTGCTGAAACACTGCTGTAAATAAAGTTTATTGATATTTTCTAATAAAGCCTTTTATGTTTTTCAGCCTGTTTCTCCTTAGTTGTTTTTTTTTAGCATTCTACCGTTAGCATGTTTTAGCTTTAGCACGGCGGGTGTTCAGTGCTCTGGTGCAACATCTCAGACAGCTGCTCTGCATGTAGTCCTGCACAAAGGGTGAGTGAAGGTGTGATAGACAACAGAAGGTCAGAGGACGATCACCGGTGGTGGAATAAAGAGTGACACGAGGGCTCGGGGTGTCTGCAGCTAAACGTTTAGGATCAGAAACCTAATCCTGGACCTCAGTCTCTGATGAAGGAGCTGTGTTTACTTCTGCTGTACTGCTCTCCTGCTTCAGACCGATGAGAACCCAGCTGCAGTGTAACCTCAGTAGAACCACACAGACAGCAACAGTGGGGAGACTGGTTCAGGATCAGTAACCAGGTACCGGCCCACCCACTGACCACTGCCATGGCAACCAGCTGAAGTCCAGGTCGTCCCGGTACTCGCTGCACCTGGCGGAGGGTCTAGTCTGGAGATGTTCTTCTGTGTTGTTTACTGTTTTTATTGACAAGTGAACCGTCAGAGGAGTAAACAAGCAGAACAACCCAAATGAGAAAATACAATCACAACTTTATTTCAGTTTTTCATCACAAACCTCATTCTTCCTGTTAAAGTGCTTTAAAGGTTTAATTCAGTTTAATCATTATGACGAGGTTCAGACGACGTCACGACTCAAGGCCTCCGGAGGTCTGTAACCACAGAATCGTCCCGTATCACAAACTCATCAAACCAATCACAGTCACAGATCATCAAACCAATCACATTCATTGATGATTCCAGCTGTTTAGTTTTGAGTAGAACATCTGTGTGACATCACTGTGATGTCACAGCCGTGCTCTGCGGCGGTCCCTCAGGGCGTACAGGACGGCGTGAGCTCGGTCGAAGGGCTCGCCGACGGCGGACTGGACTCGACTCCTCCATCGCTGCAGCTGAGGGCGGTCCTTCAGGACGTCCCGCCCTCCCCCCAGAGGCTGCAGAGACACACACTGAGCATGCTCAGAAGCACTCACCCACAACAACCAGGAGGAAAAAAACACTTGGCCACAGTAATGAAGTGGGCGGGATCAATCACAACATAAACCAATCAGAGCGTCTGACCTGCATGAGCTCACAGATAGCGAGCAGGTCGGCCACAGTGATGTCATCGCCACACAGGAACGGCTGTCTGCGAAGAAACATCGACTCCAGCTTGTCCAGAGTTTCATCCAGCTGAGACAGAGCACGAACCAAACGCCCCTCATCTACCGGAGAGCCAGACTGGGTCGGGAGCAACACCTGAGCGGGTGGAGACAGAGACC